AACCGTGGAGTCGATACTTCTTCTGAACTACGCCATGCTCTCGTCTTTCAACCAAATTAGTACAAGTTCCTCAATAAGTATGGGACTTTTGGGCCTTAGGGGAGCCTAACTCTGTTTGATTCATTATTTTCCCCCATAACACATCCGTTATCAAAAAGACGAAATGAGGAAGGTCAGCCGGTGCTGGCGGGAGGCAATCGCATAAAGCGTGAGAGTGCAGTTAACCTCCAGCCACTCTGCCACCATGCCATCTTCAAAAAAAGAACATAAATATAACGCTTTATGCTAGATATCTTTGCTGTACAGATCACAAAATAAGATTATGGCTTCCGTCTTCTCAGGCACCAACACATAGAAAATGATGAGCTATTTGTAGTCGAATCGAGGGGACGGAGGAAGATGTTAGAGGCAGGGGAACTAAGGGTCTATTAATGATTGAGCGAAACGCACACATATATGAAACTTCAGCACGTGCGAAGACAGCGCAACAAAATTTGAGCTAATCAATTGAAAAAAAAAACAGTATTCTCGATTGGCATCGTACCTAATTGATATGATGATGAAGAACAAATCAAAGCAAATGCAAGAGTTAGACCACGATTGGAAATATGGCAGGGCAGAGAATAAACGAGGAAGAAAACAACAAGTAAGAAGTCTGATAAAATAAAGAAAATAGAAAAAAACTCCGCGTCTCAACTGCTGTTCATCACAAATGGCACGAAATCAGGGTTAGATATCCCGGATCGCTAAAATCGGCGGCAGCAATCAGAATGGTCAGTCCTATTCCTAATGGACTTCCAGCCTCAATATAATGGTGACTGGAAATTCCACACGTATACTCTAGAACGGTACCAAGATAGGAAGCGGTTTCTATAGCAGTAAACGCCTCACTGGCAGCAGTCGCTTCGCAGTCCGAAAACACGGTGGCTCTCATTAGGGGGTGGGGGGCCCATAGAGAATATAGGCAGATATGATAGTTCTTAGAAAAAAAAAACAATAGAAATATTAAACAGTGAACAATATTGAAACAAAAGAAAGGAAATAAGTAATGGCAGTTGTTTACGTCAACAATGAGCCGATCTCTGGCAAAAGTCATAATTGTGGGAAGCTGTTCATCATGTCATAGCCGTAGTGCATCGGTGTGAAATCGGTTTGCACCAATGTCTGCAATAAATTCATGACTTCAAATATTTAAATTTATTGGAGTTCTACATATTCGTCCATTTTCGCTCGCTATCCGTGACTCGTCATTTAGGCATTATTAACCCAATTAAAATCCTATTATTACTGCTTCTGTGCTGTTTCCAGAGAATCGTCCTCGGACCCGCGAAGACACGCCGAGACTTGCAGTTAGTCACTAGGAAACCAAGTACGAACAAGGGAAAAGCTACATTGCTGCTAACTGCGTCTGAGTGAGGCCAAAATCCGTTACAAAGTGGGAGCGTAGGATGTTTGAAGTTCGTAGGGATGTACTGAAAACTCAAGGAAGATTGGGGGGTTTAAATAGCACGTTTTCTTCAAGGATTAGGGAGGATTTCACGATTAGAATGGAGGTCGAGGAAGAAGTAATTTACCTAGTTGAGTAACCCACGGACCTCCTGAGGATGCGAACTGATGCGCAATTCGCATCGAAAAATTTGACCTCGGCGACCTATTATGCCTCAAAGTTGGCGGGCGGGGTCCGGCGATCTCCGCCCACCGACCAGCTGATCACTCACCGCAGGTCTATACGTGGCGAGTGATTAGATAGGTGAGAGAGCGTAGTGTTGAAGAGGGCACAGCGATGAGAGTCGCATCAATGCTCGAATCAACGGGCAAGGAAGGGGTACCATTTCTCGGGTTCTGGGCCGTTTCTCATGGTTCTTCCTTCTTTCGTGTACCACTCACCATCCCTAGGTTAATTTGAAATGGGTTGCTTTTCCAGCGTGAATTCGTCCTTTAAAGGACTTCAGGGCCAGGAAATTGTTTTTGAGCAATAACAGCGCTCATCGAACCACCGTTATGACAATATTTGAGAATATTGAGGTTTTCGAGTTGGCTTATTTACAGCGCAACCAGATCTCAGTTGTCTTCAAAGTGTAGTAGATGGTACCTGTGCACTGTCGTCGTGCTTCTTTCCCCTAGGTTTTCGTCCACGAGTCGAATTCATTCGGTGAGCATTCAGCCGATCGATCATCTCCACACGGCTCATGCCCATCACTGACGCTCGCATACTTTCCAGTTTACGATCCCACTCTAAAATAAAATTGTGTCTTTCAGAATACTTGAGAAAATATGATGTTGAGGTATCGCGGGTGAAAGGTCTTCACAATTCTCAAAAAAACCTAGTGAACGGGTTCTAATGATGGATAGTCCATAATGGAGCTTATATTTTGGATCTAGCAATCTTAACATAAGATCGACGAGCAAAATAGGATCTCCACCTCCGAGTTTATGCCCGCCCTCCATGAACAGGGAGAATGAGCCCCAATTTTGGTAATTGATTCCGAATTTGGTTGAGCTTTTAGCTAAAAAATAACCCTCTTGGAACACCTTATTAGTCCAGATGACCGCTAGCCAGCTAACGGCCATTTGGACTAGAGTTTCCAAGAGAAGACACAACGCACTTATTAACGAGATAGGCTGCTCGATATGATATCTATGACATATGCCTTATAAACGAAAATGTCAGAGTATTCCTTTAAGCTCAAGGCTGTCAGGATATGGCAATGTCGTTTGGTCCCTGTCCACGAATTGAGATTTAGCGCCTCATGAAACCGTTAGCAAAGTGGTTACTTCAGTGGAAGCACCAGTAATCGTTTAGGGTAAAGTCTACCCTTTCCGCTGAACAACATCTTTCCCCACATAAACAATTCGATCATCGTGACCGCTGCATTCAATGCTTGGAGTTCAAGTGCTGCTAATTACCATAAGGTATCGAGGTAGAGATGTAGAGATGGGGCAAGATAGCGTTCTCCACCATAGGTTGGTGTGATATGTCACGACCGAGAAAAATACGGTGTAAATCTCCCTCCTGATTGAACCGTTAAGCCAAAGGTTGCCAAACGAGGGACGTAGGCAAATAAGTGAGATAAATGAAGTGGAATAGATGTTTATGGCTTACCTTTGAGATCCTTGCAATCAGGAGCAGGATGGCAGGTGTTGAGGTGTCTCTTCATGTTACCTTTGTAAATAGTGACAAATTCACAACTATCGCAAATGTAGGCATCCTGAAATTAGCAATGCTTTTCAAAGGCAAGCATCAGGAAAAGGAAAGAAGGAAATTAAAATCCGTGGGTGTGAGCGTTCAGTTATGAAGCTGGAGATGGATGAGCTGGAGGAGAAAAAGAAAGCAGAAGAACCTCCCTATCAAGCCCTGGATAAGGACCTCCTCTAATCCAGTGCACTCCACTTTCGGATAGAAAAGAGGCTTGCTGGACGAGTATCACAAAACTAACTCCAGTTGCTCAACTACCAAAGACACTGAACCGCAATACAACCGCTGCTGCAATTGCACCCGCACTAGCCTCGCCGCGACAACGCTACAGCGCGAGAAAAAGGAGGACGGGTCTTGCGGACACGCTGGTGTGGAATTTGCGGTCCGGCACGGCTTCTATCACCTTGGTCGCCCACTTGAGAATCAAATAAGGATGCGAAATCAACGCCCGTTATAGGGAGCGTGCCTTATCTGTACTGTGCCTTGAACTTAACGGACGAATTCACGCTGGGGAGGCAACCCATTTTAAATTAACTCAGGGATGGTGATTGGTACACGAAAGAAGGAAGAACCAAGAGAAACGGCCCAGAACCCGAGAAATGGTACCCCTTCCTTGACCCTGTTGATTGAGCATTGATGCGACTCTCATCGCTGTGCCCTCTTCAACACTACGCTCTCTCACCTATCTAATCACGCACCACGTATAGATCTGCGGCGAGTGATCAGCTGGTCGGTGGGCGGAGATCGCCAGACCCGCCAACTTTGAGGCATAATAGGTCGCCGAGGTCAAATTTTTCGATGCGAATTGCGCATCAGTTCGCACCCTCAGGAGGTCCGTGGGTTACTCAACTAGGTAAATTACTTCTTCCTCGACCTCCATTCTAATCGTGAAATCCTCCTTTAATAACACAAAGGCTGCGTTCAAATGCGAAATCCAACTATGAACTCCCTACTGGGAAATATCAAATCTCTACTATAAATACCCAATGTGGACTGTCGTAGTAACCCTCGGAAAATGCGCCCACACAGCGGAGCCACTTGTCACTATCCCATTTCCGCTTCTATAGCCCAACGGGAGAAATGTCAAGTCTGTTCCCTGCGAATCATCCCGGACTATTCTACTGGAATATGCTGATTCGAACAAGGAGGGGCGCATCTGTACGTGCTGTTCTTTGTTTTCTCTTGAACTGTCACAACAATTGTAGCAGCTAACCTCGGGCGGATCAGCTTCTTTTCTTGGACCACCCGGTGGTGATGGATCGCTGGGCAGTTGGATTTGCTGAAAAAAGTATTTGATTGATATACATTTTTTTCAGGGATTTTATATCTTGATGAATTGGATGCAGCAATGATTGAGAAATTGCAGACTAAGGCTCGCCGTGCAATAGGAAAGCACCAACGAGAGGGTCGTGTAAGTAGGTGATCAGAAAGCAGTGCGTGAGGAAACTTTCTTGAGGGTCGCCAGATAGATCGAGTAGGAAAGAGCAAAGGCTAGCATGGGAGACGAAGTTTGAGGACTGAGGGTTGATTTATAGAATTTACAATGGGTAGTTGTTTATCTGGCTTTTTTTTCAGGATGTTGTGGTCAACCATCTCGAAGGAGTGCTCAGGCAACTGCGTGCAAAGGCATCAAATCCATCTTCCTAATCCATTTTCTCGCTTTGCAAGGTCAACAAGTGGCCAAAGAAAAAGTTAAATCAGGTTTGAAGGCAAGTCAAGAGCGAATTGTGAAGAAAGCAACTGGAACCAGTGTAAGGGTCCCAGCCATGTCTGTCCTGAATTGTTCTCAACTCGAGAAAAGCAAAGCGCAGTGAGCTTCTGGATTACTCATCGCTGACAGTGGTCAGAGGTGGACAAGAAACATGGTCGAGTTTGAGCCTACTTTACCAGACGAATTGTATCTCTGATTATTTTGTAGATCTAATGTTGTTATTACATATCTTGAGCAATTCTGGACCCTGTATTAAGCTTGTCAGGCGTGATAAGATGGAGCATTCTAGAAATCAATGAGTGGATCCTTCGACCACGCCCACTTCAGCTCCCTGCCTAGCGGCTTTCCAAGGTGAGTTTTTGTTCAGTCACACTTCTTACGTTCTTGACTAGGGGCTGAACAGCTCCGAAGTGGGAATCGGCCGAGGGGATTGCAGCCGTTTCCGACCACGCCCACCCTGCTGGGACTGTTGCTTTAAGCAGCAGGTCAGCAGACGGAGGTCATTTGAATATGAGGCCTTGAAGATGCGAATTACATGGGGTAAGAATGTAGGCTAGAGAAATGGTGCTGCTCTTTGAAATTGAAATTGTACTATACGGTGAGACCAAAAATCGTGCAAAGAAATGGGAGTTGCGGTCACTCCCTTCCCCGCCATCAGAAGCTCTTTTTCTCAAAGCTGATTTTGGACGATGGAGGAACTTGCTACTGGGGTGAGTGTTAGAATAACTGTGTTATCACACTGATGAAAAGCGTAAATGATAAGAAAACTTGTAGAACCTTGGTAAAGGCACGGGCCCATAGAACAGGTGTTTTTCTCTGCTCACAAATCGAAATGCGACAAGGAACTTCAGTGAAAAAATCTGAAAGCGCCACAGAACATTAGCGCCCTGGTGCACTTCCGTGCCATAGCAGTGTCCTGTCACTGGACTTGGAAACCCCTTGTGCTCACTTATAGGAGGGACTGCTCTCGGCACTATATCCCGTGGGTCTAATTGGCAACGGACTTTAGCCTCGTGCATCGTCTTCTGAAACATGCAGTTTTCCCTCACTGTAGCCCTGAATCTTATGGCTCACCCGGTTGAGTCGACCCATGCTGAAACTGACTTTGAGTGGGTGGGGCATAGGCTCTTATTTGTAGGCACTCCGAATGAAAAATAGAATGTGATTTCGCAGCAGTCATCAGTCTTTAAAGATTATGAGTGACCGAAACGCATGCGTTCAAAATACAGGTTGGAAATTGTCTTTCTCTAAGGCGAAGTGTTTCCCAACCAAGAGATGCATTTTCAGATTAAAAAATTTAGATTGAATTGAACAAACCTGCTCCATCGAGTGACCGTTCATGTATGCCATGCCGTCCTGCTGTAGGTCCTGTTCATGGAGGTAGGAACCCAGTGACGGAGACATTACTGGGGATCCCAGGAGACCAGAGTTTTGAGTCCCCGTTGCTGCAAAATGTGGAATTGTGAGGAGGAAAAATCAATGGAATTGCAAAAAAAAATCGTTCAAAGTATTTTACACCTACCAGGGTCAAAACCTTCATGCAGCACATGCGGTAGCATGGATTCGTCATGACGTCTTCGTTTCGCATCGCGCCGCCTGTCCTTATCGGCTCGCGGTCTTTTTTGAGGACTTTCATTTTTACCGCATTGATTTATATGCCGCCGGATGTTACCCTGGAAATAATTGAAATTCGAGTACATCGTTCTTAAATAAAATCAAAAAATCGAAATGTAGATTATCCATACATCTCTGAAATCCTACACATGGCATACCTATTCCGATGCCTATTTTGATATTCGGCTGCGTACTGGTTACTCACTAGCTAGTATATATGGATTTTTTCACAATACTACCCACTTTCCTACATATTCGACCTTAGCGGCATTACTAACCAACTTTTTTCTTTTACCCTTTTTCTAGATTCTGACAAGCCACTAGTCTTTGAGAAGTCTTCGGGGTTGACGGAATGGTGCTTGTCTGAAGGCGAGACGGACACCTCTTAGTACTTAGGATACTCAATACGTTGCTTCAATTTTGAAAAAAATTCAATACGCACTACCGTACCACCACCGAAAATATTCGTGCGAACATTTAAAAGGAGCAGCTATATTGGAGAATAGCATTTCGCATTGCCAACGGAAGGAGAGTAATCGGAAACGCGTGAGAATGAACCAGTGCGAGCTACAGAAGTTAGGATATGGGAAGTTTCAAAAAACGGAATCAAAAACAAGAAAACTAGTAGTTTATTGTACGAAGAAGAATATCTGAGTCATAGGAACGTTCCAGCTCATCATATGGATGGATTAATCTGCAGTCCTTCCTATGAGGGGCTTTTGCAGGGTGATGAGAAAGGCTCTTCAGCGTCAACGGTGCAGCGGCCCTGGACTCGTATGTTTCAGCTTGGAATTGGCTTCAGAAATGCCTTACATAGCCTAGTGACCTAATCGCCTAAGAACTGAATCTACGCATCATCAGTTCTCTTATCGTACATTCAAAACTAGCTGTGAAGCTTGAGAATAATGAATTCTTTTCGAAGAGCGTCACTTCAAAAGAAAGAGAACATCCTGAATTCTTTGCCACCACATGCACAACTGTTACCTCTTTCAAGCTCGGACCTGAGACATTCTCTTTCGATAAGTTTTCTCACTTCTTACTCCCTTTCACTGTTCAATCCCCATTTACATAGACATTACGTGAGGAAGGAGATCTGTCCACTCAAGAATACATTTCAAACCTATGTAATTTGATGTTCTTCTGGTGAAATAGCCGTCCGTCTGAAGATATTTAGGTACAATGAAGCCCAGTGTATGCTATCCAAACAACCAAGAGTGTACTTGAATGAAGAACTGCAATGGTAAGAAGCTTCTATAGAAGAGCAGCGAATTCACTAATATTACCGTCACTGAGCTCTTGGTTTAAAGTGTCCTGATGCTGAAAATAGGAGGATAGGTGGATGATAGGTGACGAATAGTGGGAAATGCATCGAATGGGTAAAAGGGTTCAAACGCCAGTATCCTACTGTAATTACATGTCGATACGCATTACACACATTTTACCACGCTCCGAGGACACGCTAAACACGCGAGAGTTGTACAGCTGTTACAGCCGTAGATTTGTTGCGAAGAACACGAGAATTTCTCGCTCCTCAAACCGGACAATGGGCAAAGAAAGGGGCATGTCGATTTGTGATAATTCCTGGAATGAACTTCGTCAGAAACTCCTTTGGGACTAGGAAAACCAAATGCGAGCTTAAAGGCAAGATTCAGGATTGAATTATGAGTTAATTCCACTTAAATGTGAAAGTAGGGGTAGGTAGTGGACCGCCAGTGCAGAAAAGAGAAAAAGAAATCGTGAAATGCTTAGGAAATACGAGCCATTTCCTCTACGGTGCGGAGAAGTTCAAAAGGCCGGCAGGGAGATGAGAGATAATGTGAGCGCGGAGAGCGCTAGAGAAGTCTAAGTAGAGAGAGCATAGCAGATCAACATTCCGACGCAGTCAAGATATCGAGCGGTGGGCGGAGCGTGTCGCAGCAGGTGGAGCGTGTCAAAGTTCTTAGAGCCTAGCGTCTAAATAACGGTTTTCGAAGTAGGGAAGTGACGCGACCCATACACTTGCGTGCCTAGCGCTTCTAGCCACCGTAAAGGCTCATTAAGTGGGTCTGAGCCCGAACTTTGCCTTTAAGTAGGTGTATTGCTGGTGCGGATTTTTCAGTTGAATGGTCTTTGAAGGGTTATCAAGCTCCAAGCACAAGTTTAGTAAAAGTGTGAGTATAGTACCATGATAGATAGATATTATCAAACTACCTTGTAATGGCTGATGAAGCGATCACAGTGAGGGCAGATAGGGCTGAGACCGTCGTGACCGTTCGTCAACGCTCCTGCTTTGATGGCGTTTTCTGTGCCCGGCGCAATTGGATTCGCTCCCATCGCCACTTGGTCCAGGTAGTTTCGTCCTGAGAAGCAGGTAATTAATTGATACTGAACAATAAGACATCATATTGGTCCCTCCAGGGAGTCTCTCTCGCAAAAGCGATGGCTAGACCCTGAGTTCCACTCAAGAAATGGCCAGGAATTTATTTGCAAAAGTGGATCAAAGTTTGCAGTTCTATCGAACCCACCTATGATTTCACGGCATTTTTCGTTCCGCCCGATGTGGCCTGTTAAGCTTCGTCTGGAAGGATAAACACCTCGGCAGGCCATGCACATCACTCGCTCATTATCAGGACCCTGAAAATGGAAGAATGAATGAATTGTAGGTCTTATGAACGACTCGCTTAGTTTTTCCCTGTACAAGTATTAAACCCAGGCTCACTTTCCCTACGCATTTTTCACGACCTCCGCTAGGCTTACTCCCACTCACGAAGTCTGTACTTCGTCGGAGAGGTGCGTACAAAAAGGTGCTTTTTACAGCAGAAGTTCTCATCACAATCATGGCGTCACGCAATGAAGTCTCAGCACTGACTTGGAAGTTGGGTTTGCTAGATCTAACCCTTGATCTAACCCTGAACCACAGGGCGCCACTCGTTCTGGAATGTGCTTATATTCATTCATCTGAATAGTTACTCCGCTCGAAACCGAGCTGTCTCGGAAGTCCACAGTAACCAGTAACAGTAGTAAACAGTAGCAGTGGAGTGGGTGTGAAATTTTCTACGAGACGTGGGAACAACAAGTTCTATTTCAGATGCATTCTGAAACGAGAGCCCTACTCACCTCCAGATCCGTTGAGATCGTTTCTCCGGCAATAGGCGGAGTCTCGGAAGCAGCCGATCCGCTGTTTGAGGTCAGTGTCGGGCTGCTGAGTGACGTTTGCTCACATGGTGATACGGTAGAAGGACGAGGTAGTGGAGCAGTAGGGAGAATCGTCTGAGGAGGCGCTGGCTGCTGACCGGCACCCATCGAAAGTGTAGCTGACGGAAACTGAAATTACAGAATAGACAGTGAAAGTGGGAAGACCGTGTGCTTCATATTCGGAGACTGAAAAAGACTGACATCGATTTTTTGTTGAGATTGGTGATGAGTGAAATGCATCGGAGGATAATTGGCAGTGATCTGAATCGGTTCCGATAGAGGCACCTGATGCTCGAAATGTGGGGCGGCAACGCGATGGTAGGCATCCGGAAAAGATGGCTGGAATCTAAAACCGAGAGATAACTGCAGACCAAGGCGAGCAGAGTCTCTAGGGTTACCATCGTATTCGACCATAAGGAGAACTTTTCAGTAAAAAAATGCCAAAACGAAAAGCTCGACGAAAATCCACTCAGCCCACCATAGTGACCGTTACAGCTGAATGTTTCCTTGTGTCGTTGGCGGCGTGACGGGAAGTGCGCTTTTCCCGCTTACCTTCACTACACCCGATTTTGAGTGGGAACCCCCTTGGAGATCCTAGTTCTCCTGCTCCGGATGTATTAAGCAACTGACCTCTGTTCGTGCACTGGATAGTACATATTGTTGGGCTGCTGTTGCGCGTATGGGCCTGGCACAGCGTCAAAGTAGAACGTCGAGTCGCATTCTGAACATCGTATACTTTTAGAGCATATAGGAAACTTTGAAGTACTTGTGTAAGAATAAGTGTAGGAATGTATGTGTGTAAGCTACATTGGTTGGCTTAAGGTACATATTACTATGATCTTTGGACAGACTCCTTGGATTTACATATGCCTTACCTCATTCTTGAAGACGTTACGATGTTCTAGAAAAGATGCTCTACAGTAGCGCCTCTTTTGTAGGATGCTCCATAATCTCCAAGGAGCGGAGGTAAATATATTTACTAACGGCGTTTGCAGTCGTTGCAAAATCATAGGACACCCCTCGGAAGTCTCCTTACAGTTGAATTTTTATCCATCCAGCAACGATGGTAGCACTTGTCCGGTGTGTGGTAATTCTATTAGAGTTACGGTTTGAGTTGCTCCCTTTCCCTCCGCGAGTGAAAGCCAGACTTTCTTTTTATACGCGCCTGATGGCTCTACCATGAGCATCGAAGCCATTTTGAGGAGCTCAAAGAAAACCATAGCTTGGTGCTCCAAATTCTCACTACGAATAGAAATAGAGTGCACCAGGATAAATAGGTCTCTGAAAGGATTAGCTATAACCTCGAAGATTACGGACAAAATCACCTATCGCGCGACCTTGATTGCCTCATGAAAGAAAAGAGTAATAGAAGATTGAAATCCGTTATACGCAAAATCACACTCATGTCGAGGGACAACTAAGGTACGGAGTCCTACGAAAGCGTGCGCCATGCTGTATGCGTATCAGCATTGAAGCCAGAGAAGAGAAATCTAATGAAAGACTAGGCCGAAGCTTGCCTTTGTTGAGCTATTTTTCATTCAAAATATCAAAAAAATTTGTTCCTTTCAGACCGCGCTTCTTCGGTAATGAGCAGTTTAACTTTGATGGTTCAGATGACTGCTGTTCACTTGTAAAGAAATGGGCCAAGATTCGACTTATTCCTTCAACAAAATTTTCGTGATCGTTTCCTAAAGATGTGGTGATGCGTAAACCTCATCCTGAGTTCCAGACCTGAAGTTTCTCTTCTCTGGTTTCAGTCAGAACGCCTAACGAGCATGGCAGCACGCTTCGCAGGACCCTACGCTAGTTGTCCATATCAGTGATTTTGCTATAGGATTTCATTTCTATCCTCTTTCTTTCGTAGAGCTGACACAGGTTGATTTGTTGTAATCTTCGAGGTTATAGCTAATCCTTTCAGAGAACTTCTGCTATTTATCCTGGTGCACTCTTATTTCTATTCGTAGTGAGAATTTGGAGCACCAAGCTATGGTTTTCTTTGAGCTCCTAAAATGGCTTCGATGCTCATGGTAGAGCCATCAGGCGCGTATAAAAAGAAAGTCTGGCTTTCACTCGCGGAGGGAAAGGGAGCAACTCAAACCGTAACTCTAATAGAATTACCATACACCGGACAAGTGCTACCATCGTTGCTGGATGGATAAAAAAATTCAACTGTAAGGAGACTTCCGAGGGGTGTCCTATGATTTTGCAACGACTACAAAACTAAAAAAATTGTCTAAAAAAAATATTCGGAATGATCTGGCTACTTGTTTGTATAGGTTTTTTATAGAGGCGGTTCTGATTCTACCAGTTGCGATAGACGGCTTTTTCTAGAAGCCGAGATATTCATATTTTTGGGGGGTGTCCTATGATTTTGCAACGCACTGTATTGAACAGAGAGAATTACTTATTTTGGGAAAGGGATAAAAAAAAGGTTGCAATGTAGTCAGAGTTGATCAATTCGTCTCTGAGGTGCGCCGTGCATGCTACCTCCATGCGGAATCGAATGTTACGCTTTGAATGCGACTTGGCCCAAGTAACAACAACCTCAGTTGCTGACCATGAATCATCAGTAATTTTATCCTTTCCGATGAGTTTGACACCAGATAACCGAGTTCAGAAAAATGGAAGGTTTCTTCAGCGTACGATCAAGGATCCGATCACCGCACGGTGCGTGTGAGAAGCGCCCCTCGCCCGTATATGCTCCGATTTAGAAAGTCTAATTAAACTATTAGCTGAGACAATCTTTACAGGTTTTATTGTAATTATTTCAATCACTGCGCAAACTAAAGACCAGAACTTCCCCAGGGACAGAATCACAGCTTTCCATTTGAATCGGGAAATCTGCTACACTCATCTAACCAGGGAAGGTCATGAAGCCGGTGCGACCATTAATGATGATCTCTACACCTTTGCACTCGCCTCGAGACGCTGAGCTCAAAACTGTCTTCCCGATATGCTAAACGGTTTTTTACGGAGTTATAAAGAAAGAGAGCAGAGCGGTAGTGCCCTTCATAAGGGCAACTAATGGCAACTTTTTATAAACTAACGAATTTAGAAGCTCTTCTGCCCCATCCAAATTGAAAAACAAAGAAGCAGGCGTTCTCACCACCTCTTGCCTGCGAGATCGGGGCACCCGCTGAGGCTTTCTTGCTTTATAACACCGCAAAAGAACATTTACAGATCAGTGAAGGCAAAGTTGTGATACTCAGCGTATGCACGGCCGACACTAACCGGCGGATCGACCTAATGACCTTCCCTGCGTAGGAATACCGAAGGGCATCATTGCCTTAACAAGGGTTCATTTCCATGGAATAAGAAGCGCTTCTCACCCTTGTGATCATGGTAACTCACAAAACACAACCGAGAACCGTCAGGTTTTCAAGGGCGCGGGAATTCTGTATGTCAGCCGCTTCAGCTTGCAATCATCTCCTATCCCATATCCACTTTATGTCTTGATTGCCTTATGTCAGAGACTGCATAGGGCAGAATGTCATCGTATTTGCAAATGTAAGATCGTTTAGCGATTCGAAAGGCGGATTTGAGAACGGCGTGCCAGGATGCGCATGGGGATATGCGTCTCATACTGAATGGCTACAGCGACCTGAGGGACATTCCTTTCTAGAGGTTCCAAGGCTACTTCAGAGCGGAATCTTTGCTCAAATTCCAATGACAAATCTTTAGCGTAGAGCAGGGAAGCTACCCTCCACCTCACTTACAGCAGTAAAGTAAACGTAAGTTTGAAAGGGGCTAAAAAGGCGAATAAATCTGGTTAAAATCATTTACCTGACTTATTTTCGTGCCATTGTTCTGGATAAGTGGCGGCGGCCGTGTCGCTCAGCATGGCAAACGTTGAACTGAAACAAAAGGCGTTTTCACAAGGTATATGGAAAAAGTATTTTTGGCAATGTTTGGAATAGAAAGACCCTAGAAACGTGTTTTTGATTGCACAAAATTAAGTTGGGGTCCGCTCCAGTATGTAGATTTGGGCAGATATTAAAATACGGGTAAATGCTCACCTAAACAGTTCCGATGTACCGGAAACTGATGATGAGGAACCCGGTTGCGGATACTGTTGCCATTGGAACGGATCCATGGCCGGCGAAGAGAGAACCTGAAATGTCTGCACTTTTGGCTGGAGCTCGGGCGCCGGTCACGGGTCGTCACCGAAAAATCAGTTACACTCAACTAAATGATTGTGACGTAACGCATACATAGGCATAGGTTAAGAATGAATATTTTCGATCGAATGGGGCTGATTTGAAGTACGCCACTGTTGGGACTAATGCAGATGAAGTTGATATAAGCGTGAATCTCGTTCGATGCAACTACGATAGCCTGGAGATGCTCGATCCAACATTTCCCACGTCTTTGTCTGGGAATCTTTTATACCTTCCCACCCATCGAAAAATAAGGTTTTCTTGGGAGGAATTGTCCAGTGCCCTAGCAAGAGAGAAGGAATTCTCGGAGCTATGACGCTTTTGCTCAGCCTTCCACATTACAAACACTCTGGAGCCTGAGACGCACGGAGTGAGGAACAACTGGAAGGGCTGCCGAATACTCTTGGAGGAGAGGGCGTCTTGTATCCTGCCGACTGTTAATTGCAATGGTCAGCTGGGACCATGTGTCATAAATTTCAGTAAATTCACTGAGGTGAACAGTCTCACGACAGAGCAGCGCTTGAGATAGTAGCCCGGAAACTGAAGGGCGCACCGATTTCAGTGAGGATATTAGGAGGATTTTCGACCAGCGATTATAAGAATACTTCAAAATCATGATCAAGTAATCTTACAATCAAAGGGGAATGGTAGCTCTGGAAGGGTGATAAGAAGCGACATTCAGAGCATGAGGAATTCGAGGCTGTTGATCTACCCAATTTCAATGAATTTTGGAACCGAAAAGTCTATGATGGTGGGAAGAGTCAGTGAGGGTAGAGCCGGACTTTTTGCACCGAAGCCTAGTTGTGAACCGAAACTGGTGCAGTAGGGGTGGCGGCTGAATACCTCTGATCGACCTTAGTTACACATCCCTGAAACCGTGCCAAAGGACGGAACGATAAAGCATCCAGCGGCATTCAGTAATGATCACTTCTTCTTGGATTATCTATGGATAATTTCCCTTTGGAGGCGTTGTTGTATTTGAATTAAAGGAAAAACCATATCTTATTTGTTATCTCCTTGCACTATTCAGTGTGCGCTCATTTCCGAGCATGTTGACCACAATAGCCTTTCCCGAGAGCTTAGAATGCTGGTCATTTGCTTCTATGCTCATACGGTACCAGGTTGGACCTCGGCCCGTGTGCGTGGGGATTGGTGCTACTCCTACCGCCGACACCATCATCACTCTTAAACCCGTATCTCATTCTATTTACCATTTTAAGGTTTTCCGACTACCATAGGTTCGGAGCCCTTTCTGGAAATGCAAGAGCTATAGTTATCAGAATTTTCATGAAAAATGGTGGAGGCTGTTGAGCTGTTCGCCTATGGTGCAACATTAGTCGGGGTAGAACAAATTTCCTGAAAACAGGTGGAAAATCGGAGCTCATGTTGTGGGTTGGGAAGGAGGATGGTAGGACATTCAGTGAACGGACCGCTTATAGCCAGTGAGACTAAGCTCAGGAACCGGGAAAGCGACGACAATGTGAGGGAGGATGTAAGCAGTTCATCCTCTAGAGTTTCTCTCCACTCTCCTGGGCTTAATCCTAGTGCCACCTACCACTGGTTTTGAATGCCCTCCCCTCAAGGACAAGAGCCCAGCTAATTTGTTGAAGAGACGAAGTCTCAGCACTTTCATCAAATTGTACTATTGCTACACTCCCTTGGTTTTCATTGGCATTCTCTTCCGCTGCTGCTCGTCCCCTAATTTATAGTCTTAGATCCCCATTCCCTGGAACGGTACAATCACCAATTATTGAAATGAGGTGAACGCCCCAGATAACGCAGCCGATCAACATCATCGGTGAAATTTAGCCGGCTGACGCTGATTGACGAGTTCGACATCCACATCGAACGGGTTTCGCGCACACTTGGGGGTTGCTTAATTTTCTCGTGTCTATTTGATTTTCTCAAACGTTCACCGTTTCTTTCAATCATCCATCGGTTTCGCTCGCCTGTCGATCTCGACCGGATGTATTCATCGTTTCTTAGACGTGCGATGGCGGTGCTTCGGCGCAGATACAGCAAAAAACACGCAACGGTTGGCAAAAACTGGTTGGGATTTTCTCGAGTTGACCGGCGGCGGCTCTGCAACAGCAGCAGCTGTCAGCGTGGAAGGACGAACGTTGGACCCGCGAACAGAGACTATGGACCTAAACCCTACCGCAGTGGAGCGTACCCGACAGAGTGTGTGGGCAGCGTACGGGGATGGCGAGATACGATCGACGACGTGCGGGACGATCAATCGCGGTCAGGTTATGCCGCACGGACAGTGAAAACTCTATTAATTTATCCATCGGGATTGTGACGGCCCAAGGACGACTGGCGCACCACGTCGCCGGCCGTCCAGACCGCAACGAGTGCCCTTCCCGCTCTCAAACCGTACAACAACAGCCTCGGACATATGCAATCAAATAAGTTGGAAATGAGCTTACCAATTTTGCCTGAGCGAACCCTGAATTGGCGGTCAGTAGATCAGGGCCAAAATAGGATACAAGCAGGGTCGGTCCTACCGTTGCGACTTTTCGGAAATTTTTGCGACCCTCTTTCACCACCCTCGCCATCATGGTCGCTGTTTCTATAGTCTTTAATTGTATTTCAATTCTGAGACCAGTCGACACACCTAACTCCACCCACTTTTCCCTCCACAACCGCCGTCGACCACGTACACAACGGCAAAATTTGTCTGCTCCTTCACACTACGCGCCCTAAAACTCACCCACGAGTTCTGATTTCATCGAATACGACCCCCATCCCCACCTACAAACCCAACAAAATATGCCCCCCCCCCTTGGTACTTGTCGCAACATAGGATTGACCCTGGTCACAAGTCTACTGATTTGGACGCATACGTGGAAGAGTTCCGTTTATGCTTTCATGAGCAATATTTGCACATTACAGTAACTATTACCCCTAACGAAAGAGTAAACCATCCGGGCCGGAGCAGAGGTGGGTTTTGTGAGAACCATCTAAATCGGCGTTGCCGTTTCCCGCCCGCCATAACCAAGCATCGAGAGTAAAAGAACAACAATGTAATGATTGAAAGTGGTTAGGAGTAGTAGAAGAAAGTAGTCATAGATAAAAAGTATGCCAGAGGTACATAGAGAGGGAGGTGAAATAGTTTTTTAATGGTTTCTTGCTCAAGTCGAGAGCAAGTTTTGAATAAGATGGGACAAGAAAAGCTGAGAAAAGCGAATTAGAAATCCCCTTATGGCGAAAAAAATTAAGGGAAAGCGCCTTGTCCCTCGAATTTAACATTAAGGACACCACACTACTGACAACACGATACAACAGTGCTGCAGTACCTTGCATCAAACGACCGCTCATGGTTAGTGGCAGGTGCAGCAAGTGCATGAACTTAAAAAACAGCCCATTTACCAGGCTGATTGGATTATACATTTGGATCAGAGGAAATCAATTTAAGGACTTGCTTGAACTCATAGATAATCAATATTTGTTTCGTTAATTTACTATGCCCATTTTGGGCCGGCATGTCGCTTAGACGTATGAAAATAAATAAATGAATATCATAAGAAGAGCAGGATGTAATCGCCTCTTCATTTCATAATCGGATGGATAAAAAATTATTCCCATAATCAAATGAGAAAAACTATTCGATTCCACTCGCTCGATTTGATAAAAAACAAAAAAATAAAGACTAAAGAAATAAAAAAAACTACAAGAACAATAACATAATAACAAAATAGTAAATGAATTTCAGTTATATCAATCAATGGAATGAATGCTTATTAATGTAGAATATTTAACTATTAATTAATTAATGGTATAAGTCGCACCGTCACGATCTCATTGGAAAAAACTCTCCAAAATGCAATCAGCACGATAATAAGCTATGCTGTTCTTCTCGATTTCCTTATCAGAACTGAGTTCTCACAACAATTCATGGTGAAACTCCAGATCGGCAGTTCGGATGGGAGGGAGGCACTCTCCTGCTCAATCTTCAAGATAAAGATAGAGCGATCATGACACGCAATCGAGTCATTTAGAGTATACTCTGATAAGAGTAGGTGTTAAGTGGACGAAACCCTGAAATGTTTTCAATTCCACCTGCCATGGTCTAGGGGAACAGTCCTGGACCAGGACAATGGACACCTCTGCCTAGGCCTAAGGGTAGAGCTTCCAGGATAGATGACCTGTGCAGAAATTTGAATAGGATGTGGACAGGTTGTGCGGAGTGTAGGACATCCGGTCCTCATCAAAAGTACGCTTGAAATGTAGCAATGGAAGCCCCCACCCCCAAACTAGAGTTTCATTGGATTCATAAATCGAGGAAGAAAATGAAGTAAAAACAAAAATACGTATTTTATTACGGCATTTGTTATAGAATCTTTGAGGTGGATAATATTGAGTACAGGAAAAGCGAAGTAAGAAAAAGGGGATAGCAGCAGGTCAAGGAAACCTTGTTCATATTATGACTAGAGTTCAGAAAAGGAGGTGGATGTGGAACTCTGTTACAACCAGAGCTCTTCTTCTTCTCCCTAGCGTTAGTCCCGCGCAGTCGCAGGGTCCGCTGTCTTTGTCAGTCGTCGCCACTTTAGCTCTGTCCAGGGCATCTCTGCTGTGGCCATGACTTCACTTAGGTCCTTCTTGATCACGTCTCTCCACCTCTTCTTTGGGGCTCCTCGCGGTCGCTTGCCTTGCACTTCGAAGTCCATCGCTGTTCTTATCGGATGATCCTGTGGCCTCCTTAGCACATGCCCATACCATCGTAGACGCTGTTCCCGTACCTTCAGCTGGACAGGGGCAGTCTGCATGACCGCTCTAACATCTTCGTTTCTAACTCTGTCCAGCCGCGTCCAGCCGCAGGCCCACCTTCAGCATCCTCATCTCAGCGGAAAGGAGCTGCCTTTCGTGGTTCTTGTTCAGAGGCCAGCACTCGCTGCCGTATAGCATCGTAGGCCTTCTGTTCACACAGCTAGAA